ACAAAGAAGAAATGTTGGGAATCGCTTTGGTTTGTGAGTGGTTTCATGAATCTGTTCAAGGTAGAAACAGACTGTGAAGAGTTGGAAGCCACATTACAGCAACCACTGAAGCGTAGCCTGGACTTCAGAACAGGAGCATGAAATTGCCACAGCACTGATTAAATGTGAAAGAGGAGGTGAGGAGCTTATTGTCATGTCAAATGTGCCTGGGAACAGTGGCCTCAGGAAGAGGATTTGAAGTAAATAGGATTCATTTACCAACTGCTTCTGAAAGAAAATTTGACAAATTCAAATAAGAAAACAAAAAACAACCCCAGCTCACAACAGCTGAGGAAGTCCTTCTATCTGAATGGTTGGGACGAGCAGTCCAGGTATCTCCAATCTGACAGGGACAATCAAGAGGAAATTGCTGATGATGGGACCCTGTACAAAGGAGGTTGTTTTGTATGATAACATAGCATGAGATCACCACAGCCTCCAGCTGGGTATTATGAATGCAAAAGAGAGCTGGAGGTGGTCTAGTCCCGCCAGGTGTGAACACTGCCACAAAGGTAATAATATTTAAACACAATACCACTGTCAATAGAGGAAGCCAAATGCAAAGGGATGGCTGACATCATGAGATACGTGATCACCCTTTGTCTAGGGTAGAGCTAGATCTACTAGAACTAAATAGGAACCTCTTATTAGTGAACAAGTACTCAGCTTCTTAGAAGATTGAGCTGTTGCAGACCATGCTGAGTAGCAAGGGAATAACCATTATGAAGCACTGAGCACACCAGGGGATTCCAGACGTGTTAGTAGCAGAGAATGACCCACAATTCACAAGTGGCTCATTTCTGCTCTCCGCATTAATGTATCAGTTCCGCACCACATGCCACGCCCTTATGTGCACTCAAATGCAGTCATTTAGCAAAAGTGTTGGTACAAACAGCAAAGAACTTGAGAATCAAAATAAACAAGGGTCTTGGCAGATTTATGGGATCCCTATTTAGCTTTGTGAGCCTATCACAACTCACCTCACAGGCTTCCTTAGAGTCATCGTGTAGTGAGGCAGAGTGGCCTTCCTCCGAGTAGGAGAGTGAGGAACCACTACACTCCCCCTGGTGGGCGGAGCTAAATCCACCCTGCCCACCTCACCAGAAGTCCCGGGGCTGGACAAGAACTATAAAAGGAGAGCCCCACTGCTCAATTGGGCTGGGAGCACTAGAGGGAGCAGGCAGCTCTTCCAGGGAGCTGGGATCTCAACAGGATCCCAAACTAGGCCCCGAGTGGAGCTGCGCCCTGTGGCTGGAGGAGACAGACAAGTGTGCCAAGGAGCTGCCAGGACCGCTGTCAAATGACTGCCCAGAGGAGCTGCAGGGACTGCCAGCAGTCAAATACCCTGAGGTAGGGTGACCAGATGTCTTGTTTTGAAAGGGACAGTCCTGTATTTAAGCCGTCCTGCAAGTGTCCCGACTTTTTCTTAAAAACGGGCAAATTGTCCCATATTTTCTGTCTCCCCCCATCAGTACTGGCGGGTTCTGCTGCTGGCCAGATCCCTATTCGCCAACTGCCTGCCCACCAGCGGTGTGTGGAAGGGTCCAGTGGCTGACAATGGAGGTGGGTGTGCAAGGCTGGTGAGTGTGGGCAGGCACCTCGTGGCGGCCGGTTACGTGTCACCTCTGCTGCCCACCGATGGCCCTTTAGGTGCTCTCCCTCTCACTGTCCTCTCCCTGCTTTGCTCCTTTGACCCCCGCCCCCAGCCCCGCTGCTCCTCGATATCCCCCCTGCAGCACGCGTCCCATTCCCAGCACTGTGTGGAGATCCAGCTCCTGGTGGGAATGCTCAGTTCACCAATAGCCTGGCAAGCAAGCTCCTTCCTTCCCCCACTGCCTCTGGCTGGGCCATTGCCCCAGGAAAGCCAAAGACCCTCCAGCCTGGGGCACTGGTCAGGAGAAGCCAAGCCCTGAATGTGCCAAAGCCCCTCTCAGCCCTGGCATGGGGAAGCCCCTCCACCGTTTAGCTAAGCTCTGGAGTTGCGAGGGGAGAAAGCACTTTCCAGCCTGTTCATGACCTGAACCTGCAGGCTCCACAGCAGCCCCCAGGGCAGGGACTTAGCATCCTCTTCGCCTGTGCCTCCCTGTCCCCCCTGCCCTGTGTCCTGCCCCCAGGGAGCAAGGGACTGCCCCATCCCCTCCACTGCTGAGCCACTTCTCTGGCTCGTTTGCTGAAGCCTCTGCAGTCTGGTTCCCTGGGGCCTGGTGCATAATGCATCCTGAGGGCTTCACCCCTTCCAGCCCGCACTGTAGCCAGGGGACAGGCAGCAACTGGGTTATGTCAGGGGCCAGCAGCAGCCTGGAGGAGTTAGCGTGCCTTTTGACACTGTGCAGGCAGGAAGGGACAAGCCGCTTCCAGCCACATGGGGCGGAGGGAGGGGACGAGGAGAAATGAGCTCTGCAAAGGCATGGTCCCTTTCCCCACCCCCTCCCTGTGGCTGGAAGCAGCTTCCATCCCTTCTCTTCCACACAGTGTCGAAAGACTGCTGCTGGCCACATTCTGGTGTGAACCCTGGCAGAAATCTGGGGAGGAGGGGCATATGACCCTGTGTGCCCTCCCCAATGTGTTGCCTCAGGAAGTCGCAGCACCGGGTACCAGGAGAGGCAGGTCAGTCCCGAGGCCCAGCCAGGCATGGAGAGCAGAGAGTGCCAAGCAGGGAGGGGAAGATCAGTCCGTCAACCCCTGTGTGAGAGAGGTGTACAGGAGTGTGTGTGTATTACTTCTCCCAGTGTTTGGGTTGGGGGGTGGGGTAGGGGCGTGTGTGTCATCCCTCCCCATGTGAACCCTAAAGCCTTAAAGAAAAGAAGGTAAATATAAAGAATCCAACTACTCAGTATTTCTTTTTAACGGGGGATTGGTCAACTTGATGTTAATTTGAACTTTTGTACTGCATAGATCAGATTGATTGCCGTCAAACTTGCCTGAATACGAGTAATTTTACCAGGTGCCCCATATTCAGCATAGGGAAATATGGTCACCCTACCCTAAGAAGACAGAGGACCTATGGACTGCAGAGCCCTACACCCAGTCTGCGGTAGGAAGTAGTCCAGGGGAACCAGACTCTGGTTTGGTTCTGCTGCCAGAGGGTGAGTCAGCGTGTTTCAAGTGGGATTCCCTGCTGACCCAGTGGTAGAACACTCCGCCACTGTTAGGACCCTGGGCTGGGATACGGTGGAGTTGGGTGGGCCTGCATCCCCCTGCCACCCCACCTGAGGCCCAAGAGGCCTGCGTTCATCTGCTGTCCACCCCTGAGCCAGGATGCTAGACCCCAGAATGCTTTGTCTGCTGCATTTGCTCTGCCCCAGCCAGGTGCTGGGCTATAGACTGTTTGTGTTGTGCCCTGCCTGGGGAGCCAGCGCTCCCTTATAGATTGCTAAGTACAATTGGCCCCAGCCAGAAGGTGCTGGGCTATAGACTGTTTGTGGCTCTGTCCCGCCCAGAGCATCTGAGTTTCCCCTATAAACTGTGACTTGCAATCTGCCTGTAGTGAGGCAGAGCGGCCTCCCTCCTCATTTGAGAGTGAGAGACCACTACACATTGGTTCAGAGACCCATGTGCAGCAGGACACAACCCTTAGTGCCAGCAGCTAATAGACTTCTTCAACCGGAGGCCATTGACCCTGGAGTGATTATAAAAGAGCAAGAAACTGCAACAGAAGAAACTTGACAAGAATGCTGGAGTCACCCCATTTGCAAGTGGGAGAGAATGTTAATTCAAAATAGGAAGGGGCTGGAAACCTTGTCAACAGCTGCACCACTCACTGAGAGGTTGTGTCATAGCATCTCCTGAGGGTCAGTCCTACAGGAGGAACAGAAGACATTTAGACAAAACCAAGAAGTTTCCATTGGCACTCTGTATTTAGAGGACACCCAGAATGCTACTGAGTGTTCTTGTGCTGAGAAAATTAAGTAAATGACAATGAAAACACCAGGAACAGGAAACACACAGGCTCCAGGTGGCAGATCCATCTCTGCAGTTGAACAGCCAGTTGCAGAAGGAACTGTTCTGAGAACAAAAGTGGTTGAGTGAGCGGAAAGCCAATGAGGTTCAGATGAGTTAATATTACTCTGCGGCTGTTGTGTTTTGGTTGGTATACAGCTTTATTTCCATCTGATTTTAAAAATAAAACAAAAAGGAAAGATGTAAAGGTAACCACTTGAGTCTGTGGCTCCTGGTCTCTACCAGGCAGGGTTATTGGCCTCCATGGACAGCGGTTACAAACAACTGATCAAAAACAGGAAAAGGTTCTCATGAAGCTTTGTCAAGAAATGTTCCACTATTTTTTCCATTGTAAATCAAAATCTAAACGAAAATTATAAAAAATCAGAAATATGTACAATTTTAACCAACGCTGTACTCAGGTCATGTGTCTGAGCCAGGAACTAAAGACCAATCTCTTTCCAGCACTCCTGTGCACCCTTATATGTATGACTGGGGATCGGTCCTGCTTTGAGCAGGGGGTTGGACTAGATGACCTCCTGAGGTCCCTTCCAACCCTGAGATTCTATGATTGCTCAATCCAGGGATCAGTGATGACTTTGCACAGGGTGCCTTGGTCAGTATGAAAGCTATAAAATACCACAGAACCTGAATCCAGCAGCCTCAGCATAGAATCCTGGTCTTTCTGGGCATTGTTCTAAACCTGGGCACACTGGGCATTGCTGCTTCTGGGGCAGAGACCTGTGCTTTCAGAACATCACCCGTAAAATAGGCCTGTTTCATTTTCTGTGATTCCTGGCATGCCAGTGAAGCAGTGCAAGGGAGGAAGAAGTAGGCACAACAGACGGCTTTTCAAGAATCTCCCGGTCAATGCCAGGGGGCACCACCCTTGGCTGCTCCCTGCAGCAACTGCTGCTCAAGTTAACCCAGGTGCTATTTTTCTTCAACAAACTAACCTGTTAGTTGGTTCAGAATTTGAATTGGGATCCATAGGCACCACCTGACAAATGCACACTTCAACATCTTTTTAAATGAGTTTATTTACAGTGCTACTTGAAAACAATATATATATTTATATCTATCACCCTTATGACGGTTTGTGCCATAGAAAATGCCGTAACTGGATCGGCTTTAATTTACAAAAACAGCAACAAGGTAATCTGGAAGGGGAATGGAAATCAAAATTTGGTCCCTAATTATTTCTCTTTTTCTTCTTCTTTTTTTTTTTTTTTTAAAAAAAGCCCCAAAATGAGAAACTGCAACACACATTAATTTATACATAAAAACAACCTTTATCTTCTGGAAAAAAATCATGGGGCCAGCTTACCTGTTGTGTAAACCTTTTTTTTTTAATATTAAGCTAAATTTCTGCCTGTGTGTGCGCTTTAATAAAAAAAAAGTTATTTGCATGTAACATTCCTTTTCTTTCTCTCAGAGGGATCAGATAGAAGGCAGTTAAGGGAAGACTTAGGATAGGTATCATGAGATCCCTGCCCTCAACCTTCTCTATCCCAAGGAGGATGTTGGAGGGCAGATCTCAGAAGCAGAGGGGTGAGAATCTTGATCAAATTAGTGGAGAGAGGTGGCAAGTGAAAAGGGATTAGAGGCGCTTGTTGTGGGATGAGTCTGGAATTTGGAATATGTCAGGTTGCTTGTTGGGAAAAGGAGGGGTCATCATTTTGAGGACTATTGGGATTATTTGGGAGTGGGGTGCAGGAATAGTAATTAGCAGTGGAGATGTGCTGGGCGAGTGGGCAACCTCAGATTTGGGAGCATCATAGGAAGGCTAGAACTTGGGGTGGAAGGGAAACTCTTAGTCCCATGCCCTCTTCCCTGTCTGAGAGCATTTCTAATCCTTCCTCATCTGAGATTGTGTGAAGCCAGAGGCTAAATGACAGTGCAAGCACAGGCTGGAATGGAGGCAGGAGACACAAATGGAGTAAGAAAGGATGGGATGAGAGAACTCAAGCCGAAGACCCATTTTCTGTCTTCTGTCTCTTTGGATCAACTTCATCCTATACAGGATTAGGGAGAGGGGAGAGAGTGTGATTAGCACAGTCAGAACTCCCCCACCCCCCAAAATGTTTCATAGGATTCAGCCCAATATGTGATCCTACACATTGAAGCACACTCTCTGCCTGTGATTCACATTGCTACATGGTTCCCCACACTCCAAATTCTGTTTGTTTGTCCCCCCCAGGAGTCCCCTCTTCTGTACAGACCCTACAGGTGACTGGCGCTCAGATACGCCAGTGATAGGCATGGTATAAGAACCCTGGACAGATCAATCCACATGTTATCCACACTATTATTTCCAGCACATAAACTCCACATGGATCCACCCTGTCTTAGTCAGATCCCTAGAATCCACCCTCAAAACTGGATCCCCGTGACCTCATTAAAAATCTCAATTTCACATTGGATCCAGTTTCCCACATAAGCCACAGAAATAACTGATGTATGTGAGATCCAGGGTCCCACACGATCTCAAGCACCCTACATGTAATAAGGAAGGTGGAGGATCTGGATCAATTGTACACAGCATCCACTGGGATTCCTTATCCTTCACTACATGAAATGTATGTATCCTATAGTCACACAAGATCCACGGTGGTGATGTGACTGCTCACTGATAGAATCCACATGGATTTCACCAACTCCCAGACAGGCAGGACAGCCCTCTCTTGCCCCCTCTGCTCCCAGTGCCATCACCCACCTCCTCTTCTTCCTCTGCAGATCGTTTTGCTGCATGTCCGTCCTGCTCCTGCCCATTCTCATCTCCATCTAAACACAAGCAAAACAGCAAGTCACATGTTAATACCGGCAATGCTCAAGGAAACCTGCCCCTGCTGGGGACGCCCAGAGGGGAGATTCAGTCTCTGTGGCAATGCAACCCTGGCTACCCCAACCCCTCTCCCCACACACATATTAGCAGCTCCCACCGTCATCCTCTTCTCCTGCCTCTTCTTCATCCACATCCTCAGGATTCTCTTCCTCCTCTGCACCATTTTCCTCATCCTGAGTAAAACAAAGCCACAGAAGAAATCAGCTTTGGCCTACTCTTTCCAGGCCACGCATCACTCCTGCTGCCTGAAACTGTCCCCATCCCAGCCAGCCTGTGCAGCCAAAGCCACCTACCCTCCCAACTTTGTCTCCCCACACAACCCACCTCCCCACAACCCACCCTCCACCCACTCCCCTAGCCTGCAGTCCCATGCTACCTGCCTCCTCTTCCACAAGAAACCCTCCCAGATTCTCCTTGGGACTCTGCTCCCCATATCACCTACATCACCTTCTAGGCTGTGCTCTTCATGATGTTTGCCTCCCCTAGTGCCTGAACCTCCCTAGTCTGTGCCTCCCTCACATCACCTGCCACCCTAATCCCATCCCTTCCTCACGGGACTGGGCACATCCCCAGACATCCACCTCTTCAATCCCCCCCCACCCCACGCTACCCACCTCCTCAGTATTCCCACCCAGCCCATGCCTATCACTTTACCCTATGCCACACGCCTCCGTGATCCACCACCTCTCACCACGGACCATGCATCCCAATACTACCTCCTCTGGTCTACAATTTTAATTTCCAGCTACCTTCTCATTGCTCCTTGGCCCATACTCCCCATGCTGTCTGCCTCCCAGGTGGCCCACTCCCCTCTGACTTGTGCTTCCCATCCCCATCCCTCTCACCCCATCCCACTCCCCTAACTCACATTCTGCCACCTGCCTCCCTGATAAGCTCCACTGGGCTGCACTCCTCATCCGTCTCACCTCCCAGATTCCATTCCCCTGTCCCAATTTGCACTCCTCAGGCCAATTGCTTCTCTCACTGCCAAAAATCCCCTCCAAACGTATGTTCTGAGGGGTGAATATATTTGGCCTCACCTCTATTATCTCCTTCTTCTTTTCTTTGCAGACAGTCTTCTCCTCCAGTTTTTCCTTCTTTTCTTTCAATTCCTAGATATGGGATGAGAAAAATAATTCTGAGATTTAGCATCAGAGAGAATGACAAAACCGGGGTTGTTTAAATTTGAAGTGAAGAGGGATAAAAGAGGACATGATAAAATGATGAGTGGGATAGAAAAGGTAATTACACAAAGGGACATTCAATTAAATGGAAATGTAGTCAAATTAAACATTGTCAATGGAAACATTTTTCACATAACACACAACTGGCATGTAGAACTCATTGCCACATGATATAATAGAGGCCAAGAGCTTAGCATATTTCAAAATGGGATTACATATTTATGTGGAAAATGAAAAAATCCAGAGTTACAACAGACAGGAGGAACATTTTTTTAAGTAAGGGATATAAACCCTTGTGCTTGAGGCGTAAAACAACCACTAACTGAGATTGGTTAGAACGAAACTTCTCCTGTGTGCAGTTTATTGTATAATTGTCCACTAGGGGGATTCCTGAGTCTTCCTCTGAGGCATCTGGTGCAGGCCACCGTCAGCGACAGGATATGGGATTAGCTGAACCCTGGGTCAGATCTAGTACGACAATTCTTACAGCAGGATTATCTGGCTATTTGGACTCTCTCCTCAGACCCTATACTACCAGCACTCCTAGCTATATTCGAGACACCACCAACTTCCTGAGGAAACTACAACGCATTGGTGATCTTCCTGAAAACACCATCCTGGCCACCATGGATATAGAAGCTCTTTACACCAATATTCCACACACGGATGGACTATAAGCTGTCAGGAACTGTATCCCTGATGAGGCCACGGCACACCTGGTGGCTGAACTTTGTGACTTGTCTTCACCCATAACCATTTCAGATTTGGGGACGACTTATACCTTCAAGTCAGTGGCACTGCCATGGCCCCACAGCATGCCAACACTTTTATGGCTGACTTAGAACAATGCTTCCTCAGCTCTCGGCCCCTAGCACTCCTCCTCTACTTATGCTACATTGATGACATCTTCATCATATGGACCCATGGGAAGGAGGCCCTTGAAGAATTCCACCTGTATGTCAACAATTTCCACCCCACCAGCAACCTCAGGCTGGACCAGTCCACATAAGAAATCCACTTCCTGGACACTACAGTGCAAATAAGTGACTGTCACATAACCACCAGCCTATACTGGAAACCTACTGACCGCTATACTTACCTACATGCCTCCAGCTTCCATCCAGGACACATCACATTACACAATGTCTACAGCCAAGCCCTAAGATACAACCGCATTTGCTCCAATCCCTCCGACAGAGACAAAACACCTACAAGATCTCTATCAAGCATTCTTAAAACTACAGTACCCACCTGGGGAAGTGAGGAAACAGATTGACAGAGCAAGATGGGTACCCAGAAGTCACCTACTACAAGACAGGCCCAACAAGGAAAATAGAACACCACTGGCCATCACATACAGCCCCCAGCTAAAACCTCTCCAGCGCATCATCAACGATCTACAACCTGTCCTGGAAAACGATCCCCCACTCTCACAGGCCTTGGGAGGCAGGCCAATCCTCGCTTACCGACAGCCCCCCAACCTGAAGCACATACTCATCAGCAACTATACACCACACCACAGAAACACTAACCCAGGAACCAATTCCTGTAACAAATCCTGTTGCCTTCTCTGTCCCCATATCTACTCTAGCGACACCATCATAGGACCCAACCACACCATCAGAGGCTCCTTCACCTGCACATCCACCAATGTGATATATGCCATCATGTGCCAGCAATGCCCCTCTGCCATGTACACTGGCCAAACCAGATAGTCTCTATGTAAAAGGATAAATGGACACAGATCAGACATCAGGAATGGTAACATACGAAAGCCAGTAAGAGAACACTTCTTTCTCCCTGGACACTCAATAACAGATTTAAAAGTAGCCTTCTTCAACAAAAAAACTTCAAAAACAGACTTCAAAGAGAAACTGCAGAGCTACAATTCATTTGCAAACTTTAACACCATCAATTTGGGCTTGAATAGGGACTGGGAGTGGCTGGCTCACTACAAAAGCAATTCTCCCTCTCTTGGTATTGACACCTCCTCATCAATTATTGGGAGTGGACCACATCCACCCTGACTAAATTGGCTTTCAACATTGGTTCTCCTCTTGTAAGGTAACTCCCTTCTCTTCATGTGCCAATATATATTTATGCCTGTATCTGTAATTTTCACTCCATGCATCTGAAGAAGGGTTTTTTTTTTTACCCACAAAAGCTTATGCCCAAATAAATCTGTTAGTCTTTAAGGTGCCACCGGACTCATAGAATCATAGAATATAAGGGTTGGAAGGGACCCCAGAAGGTCATCTAGTCCAACCCCCCTGCTCAAAGCAGGACCAATTCCCAGTTAAATCATCCCAGCCAGGGCTTTGTCAAGCCTGACCTTAAAAACCTCTAAGGAAGGAGATTCTACCACCTCCCTAGGTAACGCATTCCAGTGTTTCACCACCCTCATAGTGAAAAAGTTTTTCCTAATATCCAATCTAAACCGCCCCCACTGCAGCTTGAGACCATTACTCCTCGTTCTGTCATCTGATACCATTGAGAACAGTCTAGAGCCATCCTCTTTGGAACCCCCTTTCAGGTAGTTGAAAACAGCTATCAAATCCCCCCTCATTCTTCTCTTCTGCAGGCTAAACAATCCCAGCTCCCTCAGCCTCTCCTCATAACTCCTTGTTGTTTTTGTGGATACAGACTAACATGGCTACCCCTCTGACACTTGACAGTTCCTATGTCATCCCAGTGTATATCACTGTCAGAATAACTATCCTCCGCCCCACCTCCAACCCTAGGAACAAAATCTCACTTCAGTTACAAATTTGCAAAAGTCTCCTTCTCACAGGAGAGGCTGGGACTCTAGTAACCCTACTTAATATAGGATTCGGAGGGGGGTGGAGAGTGTCCCTTCTCCCCATGGTCAGAGACAGGAAAAGCTCTCTCAGGCTATGTCTACACTACATCTTATGTCGGCATAATCTATATCACCTGGGGGTGTGAATAAACCACCCCCCGAGTGACATAAGTTACACCAACATAAGCCCCAGTGTGGATAGCGCTATGCTGGCAGAAGAGCTTCAGCCACCCTCCCTGAACCAAGAGCTGGATCACTCCCTCAAAACCATATCCTGGTCTCCTCGTTCCCAGTGTCTTGAGCAATGGGATTCTAGGCCCTTCAGTTGGTAAAACAATTCCCCAGACTCACAGACCCCTCAGCACTGTGCAGTGGTTTCTAAACTCTAGTCAGAAGGGGTTGAGATTTAAAGACCTGACTTCCGGCTATGACTAATGGGAGACTGACAAAATCCTCTGCTAGTGTCTGAAGGGTGTGAACCCCGGAGGGGGACTGTTTAGGGTACGGGGAGAACTGTTGGAAAAGGACTGAAACTGAGCCATGGAAAAGGAGTTCAGTGACCATCCTTCAACACTTTGGGATCTAGGAACCTGGGGAGCCACCCCCCCAAAGGAGTGGTCTAGAGCCCCACCACTCAGGACACTAGGACCTACAACTCTGAGTAGAACTACTCACATGCCTAAATACCCTGCTGAATTGAAGCCTAAGCACCCTGGGAATGGAGCGAGGGGGAAAATCCTTCCCTCCCTACCTAGTGCAGGAGGTGATGTGGGTTTTCCCAGCTCTGATTTCGACCTTTTAAAATATATTTTCCACGTTCTTATTCTATATAATGAAAAGAAGCCACAGGAGAGAAGACTGGGTAGTATTAACCTTTACCTCGATGCCCCCGGCTGCCCCTGGGAATTCGGGAGGCAGTCGGAAGAACGCAGTATTTAGTTTGCTCGGCTACTAAAAAAACATTGGGCAAGTTCCAGTGCCATAAGGCACATGTTAGGGTCTTTCCTATTTACCCCCACAAACCCCGTTTTAGCAGATAACTTTCTGTCTAGGTTTGCAATGAGCACGGGCAGCTGAATGTGCTCCCCAGTCCCTACAACACAGCAGTGGAAAGGCTAGTTCAGGGGCATTTTATTCTTTTACCACCTCGGACTTGTCTTTGTCCAAACTGATAATGAGAGCTTATATTTGCGCAAGGACTAATAAGTCATAGTGATGCCATCTGTTCCCTACACTCTCTTCCTCACTCTTCACCCTCCCTCCTTCTTTCTCTCTCTTTTCCTCATTCGTTTTCTTGCCTAACTCTACTAACCTTTAGCTAGCCAAAAGAGCAAAAACATTTCTAAAGCAGCAGCTTCAGCCCCTGCAGCCTTTAAAAGAGATCCACTATGGCACTGCATATAGTACTGGGGGGACGGGACATACACGCCCACATTTTTGGATGAATAGCTTGTGACGCCCCCCCGCCCGACCTCTGTGCCCCACATAATGCAAAAATTCAAATCCTCATCACACAACCAACCCTCACAACAGTCCAACCCACAGCAGCTGCAGTACAAAGAGCTCCTTTCCACAGCACTCACAGCATATCCAATGGTCACAGCACAGAAACACAACTCAGGCAAACATCATTCACAGCACACAATGCTCAGTACCACAGCACTCAAGAGACGAAAAATAAACATTCAGAGATACCCAATCTATGCGCTAGCATAACTCGCACCCACTCCTGCACCGAGCAATCTCACCAGGCACAGGCACTAAGGTGCTCCCACTCCCTCCTGTTTTATTACTTTTCCTTTGTTAATCTAACAAAGCCCCTAACCACCACCCACCCTTGCTGGTTGGATACATCGGATCTTTCCCCCCTTCCGCAGCTATGACCCCGGGGACCCCGACCAGCCAGCCAGACTGGCACAGCCACAGATCACTTGACCAGGTCGGCACCGGATCCAGGGGCAGCAAAAACATCAACAGACTTTTAAAGAAAACCATCAGGGACCAGCCCGCGCTTCGTGCAGGGTTAATGGCCAGGGAGGTGAGCAGCGAAGTGAAGGGAGATTGGAGCGCAGACAAGGCGAGGGCGAGATAAAGCAAGCCAAGACGGGGAAAGAGAGCGCGCTTTGTGATCGCACAAACACTTCTGTCTCTCTCACGTGCGCGTTGCACTGAGCACTCGGGGACCCACCGCTCCACGCAAATGCTAATTCAGAGCAAAGGACAGGAGAAACGCCAGGGGCGAGGAAAGAGCCCCTGAGAAGAGACAAGAGCAATGGAAAGGGGTGGGGAAAGAGAGTCGACAACACTGCCCTGCCCCTGCTTTCCCCGCGCCGCCGCTGTCGTGCGAAGATCTCCGAGCACTTTACAGCCATTCCCGAACTGACAGACTGAGGGGGCGAGGAGGACCGGGGGGAGGGGGCAAACAAGCTGGCGGAGGGTCAGGCTGGATGCTCACCGTGGCACCCACTTCTGCAGTAGCCTCCTCCGCGCGTTTCTCCGACATCCTGGTGCAGCAGCGGGAGCAGAGGAATCACCCACCAAGAAATGCCCGGGAGCCCCCTACGGAAACGAGCTAGTGGGGATTGGGCAGCGGAGCCGAGGAGTTCAAAGTCCGAACAACCCAAAGGCCAGTGGCTGCAGCTTGTGCCCCGGGGACCGAAGTGCCAGGGTCTCCCGTCCCGCCGTGCTGGGGGATATGCCAGAGAAGGGGATTTATACACCACTCGGTGACGACGGAAGGAGGGACCTGGGGAAGGGAGGGGAGTCGGACTGGGAGGGAGAAAAGAGGGAGGCACGATGTAGAGAAAGCCAGGTTGGTGGAAAGAACCCTGGAACAATGTGTACTCACATTTGCCAAACGATCACTAACAATTAGGGGAAGCAGCATGGTAAGCGGAAGGGGTGCTAGGAGCTCTGGGTTCAGTTCCAGGCTCCAGCACCCACCTGTTGTGTGACCTTGGGCAAATCTCTGCCTCGGTTTCCCCACCCCTTCCCTATCAGATTGTGAGCTCAGGGCAGGGACCCTGACTCACTGTGTATTTGTAGTGTACCTAGTGCAAACGGGGCTCAGATCTTGGTTTGGGGTCTCTAGGTGCCACTGCAATACAAATAATAACTAGCACATTGATAAAAGGAGTACTTGCAGCACCTTAGAGACTAATACATTTATTTGAGCATAAGCTTACTGAGCTTTTTGCCAATACAGACTAACAGGGCTGCTACTCTGAAACCTTACACATTAATCTTCACCCTCTTGTGCAGAGGAGAAGCTGAGAGAGGGAAAGTCACACAAGTCACGTAGAGCCAGAAGTCCTGTCTCTACGGTTCTCTAACCCACTGGACCCACATCCTCCCAAAGCTAGAAGGGAGTCCAGAAGTCCTGCCCCCAACTCTATCCCATTAGACCTAACTGTGTCCTACAGCTAGAACTAGGGGGTGGAGAAAATAATGGGTGTGTGTTGGTGATGTGGTGTTTCCTTAGGTCGCCGTCTGAAAATCCTAGACATGAAAAATGCTATTAGCAACCATCTTGTCCAATGTGCCGCTCCTGCCCCTGCCCCTACCGCCTCGCCGCACTTCCCTTTTCTCTCCCCCCACCCCCATCTTCGGAGGACAGATGGGAACACTTCGTTCTATCGTCCGGCCCAACCACTCTAGCTGCTGCTGCTGCGGCTTCAGCTATTGGTCGCTCACTGATCCCGCTTGTCTAGGCTCCCCGCTGCGTTCAAGCTGGACCTGACCCAGCTGCGGGCTGGAGGACGGCTGGCGGGGACGGCTGGGGAGTAAGATGGTGCTTGGCATATAAAGAAGAGGCTGAATTTGGTCTCCCTCTTGTTCAACGTTTCCCTCCTTTTGTCTCGTTCTACATCTGCCTCTTCAGCGGGCGTCTTTTCGGGCTGGCTCCTGCGCAGAAATCCCTCTTCACCCCAGCCCGACATACACCAAAGGAGCCCAATGCGGTCCAGGAAAGAACTGAAACACATCAATGGATGTCCAAAATCACCAACCCTCCCCGACCCATTGCTTCCTATAACCCCGCATACAAGGCGCTCTACCCTGTAGGGCTTGGGTCTGGAGCCCTGGCTATGGAGGGAGCCCCTCCACTCCTACCCATTCCCAAAAGGAGGCGCTGTAGGGAACAGGGCAGGGCCCCTGATTGTGGGGACAGCTCCTCCAGTCCCACCAAGAGTCACTGGAGAGCGTGCAGCGGGGGGCGCGGTTCCCAGCTGCTCCAAGCGGGCCAGCAGGAGGCGCTGCCTGGGCATGGGGGAGGTGGGTACGACGTGCCTGGCAGGGCTGTGTGGGGCAGAAGCGTCGGTACGCTTACGTCGCCCGCGGTTCCTCCTGCCTGGAATTTTCCACTCCAGCAGCCCGCGCTCCCAGCACGCCCCGCCCCCGCCTGGCACTGTTCCCAGGCTTTCCAACCCCTTCCCCGCTCGCTCCTCCCCTTCCCCTCGCCGCCCAAGTCCCGCCAGGGAGGAGCCGGGGCGGGGACACAGCACTCCTGCGCGGGAACCAGGCAGGGCGAGGGGTGTTTTTCCCGCGCTCAGAGGGTGGGGTGTGGGGCAGCTGGGGGAGGGGAGAAGCGGCTTCCAAAACCCCATATAAGGAGGGACCAATGGGCGGGCATGTGATTGGATAATTCAAATGAGCTCTTCTCTTGGTAACAGGCTTCTCATTGGCTGCTGGAAACAATTCTATGCAATGGGGAAAAGGCATAAAGCAGAAGAGAACGGAAAGAGGCCAGCGGGTCCGGACGGGGAGGGCAGTTACTGTGACAACCAGGGCGGGGTTTGGGTTTCCTGCCTCTGGGGTGGGAGGGGGGCCCTGGGTAGCTGGGTTCTGTCCCTGGTTGTGGACGGGGAGTGAGTGCTAAGGGGCTACAACAGGGGGGTCTGTAGAACAGCACTCCTAGGGTCTCTCCTACCTGCAGGGGGGAAGCAGGGCCGCTAATTAAAGTAACAGCTTGAGCTCAAAGCTAACCGCAGGCATGAAACAGAATACCGTGTCAGCAAGAGTCTCTGGATACCCTGTGCAGCATTGACACCTGCTGTCTCGCAGAGTGTTACACTTGCTGGCTGTCTTTAACCCAGACTCCCAAGAACTGTTTGCCTCTAGGATGTCAGTTCTATTCTGGTCCCAGCTCAGGGGTAGTGGTATCAGGGAGTAACATACAGAATCTTTCACCTTGAGGGCCCTGGTATCTCAGGCAAGGAGACTGCCTGTTTCAGGGAGATCAGTAGATCCCTGAAAATCTGCAGGTACCTCTGGACCATGTTTGCAGATCGGATGCGGTTACAAATTTTGTGTCATGCAGGGCTCCAGAGATCAGGTTAGAAGATACAGAACCTTTCGCTAGTAGGGCTCTGGTTCTAACCCTCTTCCGTGGAAGTTGTTTCCAGATGATAGTTTTGTGGCCCCTGCATGAGAGGTTTGTGAATCTTGTTCCTAATGAAAATACATATCCCTTTTGCCACACTTGGCACTTCTCATCAAGCAACACAAACACTGCACTCTTTTTTCCCTGGCTGAATGCTCATGCACATTGCCAGACACTCAAAAACATATACACACATACCCCAAACACATGCATATACCAACAAACACACACATATACAAATTCATGTATACTCACAAACGTGCATTCCATGCACATGCACACACATTCATAGATTCCAAGGCCAGAAGAAACCACTCTGATCATCTAGCCATAGAGTTTCCCCAGAGTAATCCCAAGAGCAGATCTTTTTGGAAAAACATCCAGTCTTGATTCTAAAATGGTCAATAATGAAGAATCCACCAAGAACACCAAGTAAAGTGTTCAAATGGTTGATTAATCTCACTGTTAAAAAATTATGCCTTATTTCCTGTCTCAAGAAGTGTTGCACCCAACATGGGGGAATTCTAAATTAGACCTTACCAACTAATCACAGAACTAAAAATTAATGGTAACTTGGGTTATCATGACTTGATAATGTGCAAACAGATAGAAGTCCAGACTAGTGATATAGATACTTGGTGCTTTAAAAAGGTAAATTTCACAAAGTTTAAAACAATTATGAGCCAGATCAGCTGGGAGAAAGTATTTAATCAGAAAAGATGTGAATTATAATTGGGAATTCTTGAAGAATATTTTACTAAATGCCCAAAAAGCCACACTCCCATGATCAAGGAAGAAGGCTGTATTGTACTCACCTGGTTTAGAGAAGTGAATGCAGCTATAAAAAATAATATATAACAATTGGAAGAAAGGGGAAGGTAATGAATATAAATCAGATGCTAGGAAATGTAGAAAATTGACAAAGGGACAAATGGAGAAATCTATGGCCAGCAAGTTCAGAATAAAACGGAGAGTTTTAAGTATATTAAGAACAAGAAGAATCCTAACAAAGGTACTGGTCCATTACTAGATGGAAATGGTAGAATTATCAATAGTAATGGACACAGGTGCCGGCTTCTAATTTTCCTTGGAGGTGCTCAACCCTTGCTCAGCCCGAGGCCCTGCCCCAACTCCACCCTTTCCCCCAAGCCTCCACCCTTGCCCCACATCTTCCCGCCCCTGCCCTGCCCCTTTCCACCCCTCCCCCAAGCACACCCCATCACCTCTCCTCCTCCCTCCCAGCGCCTCCTGCATGCCGCGGCGGGCAGGAGCAGGGAGGGAGGGACGCTTGGCTACCCATGGATGCTAAGCACACAGTAATTTTTTTCCGTGGGTGCTCCAGCCCTGGAGCACCCAGGGAGTCAGCACCTAATGTAATGGGGAAAAGGCCGGTGTGTTCAATAAATATTTCTGTTCTGCATTTAGGGAAAAAACTGATGATGTAGTCATATGATATAACACTCTTTCTATTCCACTAGTATCTAAAGAGCAGCTACTAAAATTTCGCATTTTAAAATCAGCAGTTCCAGAGCAACTTTCATTCAAGTGTTTGAAGAGAGCTGGCTGAGGAGCTCACTGAACCATTAATATTGATTTTGAATAAGTCTTGGAACACTGAAGAATGGAAGAAAGCTAATATGCCAATTTTTAAAAAGGGTAAACAGAATGACCTGGGTAATTATAACTAAGGCTATGATTTAATCATGGGTATTTTTAGTAAAAGTCATGGACAGGTCACGGGCAATGAACAAAAATTCACAGCCAGTGACCTGTCCGTGATTTATATTAAAAATACCTCTGATTAAATCAGGGATGGGGACACTGCTGGGGGAGCCTCTCAGGGGAAGGCTGCTGGGAGGGAGGCACCTGGGGCTGTCAGCTGGCCAGGGACTGCTGCCCGGGGCCACTCTGGCCAGGGACCACTGCTCTGGCCGACCGGGGGTCGCTGTAGCAGGGTCACGAAAAGTCATGGAATCCGTGACTTCCGCGACCTCCGTGACGGACACAGAGCCCTAATTATAACCATGTTAGTCTGATATTGATCCCAGAGAAGATAATGGAGCAACTGATATGGGACTCAATTAATAAAGAATTAAAAGAGGGTTATATAATTAATGCCAATCAATATGGGATTATGGAAAATAGACCTTCTCAAACTAACTTGATATATTTTTTGATGAGATTACAAGTTTGGTATATAAAAGGAGCAGTGTTGATGTAATATACTTAAACTTCTGTAAGGCATTTGACTTGGTACTGAATGACATTTTAATTAAAAAATTAGAATGATATTAACTGTATTAAAAACTGGCTAGCTGATCAGTCTCAAAAAGTAATTGTAAATG